CCAGGCCATAGCAGGTCCTTGATCAGTGACAGTTTCTTCACTGTGTGTCCCCTTTCCCCACCCCTACTAATGTGGCCATATCCAGGAATCCCACACAAACTCCCCAACCTCCAACTGCCACTAAACAAACCTATAGGCACCCTCGCTATGCTCACAGTTTCCTTGTACTTGCCCAGGTTCCAAGCACCTGTCCTCACAGCATCTGTCAGCCCTTTTTGGGGGTTACTACCCAATGTCCATGGCAGTCCAGAAAGAGAACAAAGGAGCAGGAAGAATGAGAGGTGCTTCACCCCCTTGCCTCTAAATGTTAAAGCACTTTCCCTGGATCTATCTCAGATAAGCACAGTGAGACTCCAAGGTCATGACAGGAAAGGTTGGGGTCCCCAGATAACCAGGGCTCCTGCCTCCTCCATACACTCCTCTGTCCCCCTTATCTATCCACTCTTCTCAGTGCAAAGCATATGAATTGGGGCTCTCACTGTGGTACCACTTCCCCATATGCACCCCATTTGTTCTTGGTGACCTGTCAGGCCAGGGCTGCTCATGGATCGTGCTAATCACATCTCCTTCTGGGGACCTGAAATTAGAACCCAGAGGTCAGGGAAACTGAGAGACTGAGGCCACCATCATCTGGGGATGGCCCTGAGCAAGTGGGTACGTGAGTTCACAAAGACTACCTGCAGGGAGAAGGAGGCAGCAGTCCCTAAAGAGAGGAGCACAGGGTGGCCACCTAGGCCAATGTGAGGCAGATGTCGCTGCACTGAAAAATTTATGTGCACTACCTCATTTGACTCCTTGCCCCAATGAGCAGTTGTAGATGAGGACACTGAGGCACAGAGAGCTTGGGAAGAGGCAGGACTGAGCAACCTTGAGTTTTGTAAGATGCCCTGACACCGCTGAAAAGATCTCAAGCTTCTGTAAAGGACCATCTGTTGTTTACATCAAACAAGCCGGGAGACACTGAGCACCCTGCCCTTCTATTCCTTCTTTTTGGACATGTGCACACTGGGCATCAGTGCCTGGGCAGGGCTTGAGGGCTGCTTGTGATTCTCAGGTCTGTTTTCTTTCTTTCTTTCTTTCTTTCTTTCTTTCTTTCTTTCTTTCTTTCTTTCTTTCTTTCTCTTTCTTTCTTTCTTTCTTTCTTTCTTTCTTTCTTTCTTTCTGAGAGAGCGCACGAGCGAGCAGGGGAGCAGCAGAGGGAGAGAGAATCTTAAGCAGGCTTCACACCCAGCACAGAGAGCCTGATGTGGGGCTCAATCTCACAACCACAAGATCATGACCTGAGCCGAAATTAAGAGTCAGATGCTTAACTGACTGAGCCACCCAGGGGCCCCTTGGTTCTGTTTTCAATACCAGGTAAACCTAGTGATCCCGGGTCAAGAGGGTGAACTGAACTGATATGGGAAAGCACCCCCTCCCTCCCCCAGATACACACAAACTGATAAACCAAAATTCAGAGTGCGCAAGGTCATCCAAGGGCATGCCACCCAAGGGGAGTGATGTAGCTCCAAAGCATGACGTTGGTTTCCAGAGACAGCTGCCCACCTGCCCACATTATGGGTCGCCACGATGTAGAGCACCTCAGTGGTCTTTATCCGCACCATGTCATTGTTATCCTTCAGCAAAGCTTTCAGGCTCTCCAGGCAGCCTGCAAGGCACAAAAACCTTTGAACATTTACCATTCTCAGAAATCAATGAACCTAGAAGTCAACAGGTGAGCCAGCGTTGGGCAGCAAGAGACTACCAGAGGCTCTGCTGCTTTCGGGCCTCAGGGAATCATGTCAGTTACAAAATATTTCAGAGTCACCAAAGGGGTCTCTGTGTGCTACAAAGGCTCACATAGCGGAGGGGGGGGGAGGGGCGTTTTATCTAAAGCCCTGCAGGCTTCCCACCAATGCCTCCTCTCACAGTCCACTGTAGGATTAAGAAAATGACCTTTGCCTTTAGAGAGACTGAGGGGTCAAATTCTCATTCCAGGCCCAAAGTAGTCCTACATGTGAATAGGTTACACCTAGAGATGCCAGGTTGAACAAATAAAAATCCTGCTTTATTTATTTATCTGGCAACCCTAGCCTCATTCCCCTCCTCTGAGTCTCTGATTTTTATCTGTCAGTTTTCTAATCTTCCCTCCCAAGGCAGGTGCTATTAGGATTAAGATAACACAGGCTCTGCACTGGGGTGATGCCGGCCCAGGGTCAGGCTTATTAAATAGCAACCCTTATTACTGAAGCTCCACCCAGTGTCCTGGGCCCTGGTTCTAGGAACCTCAGGCAAAGCTGGAATTAACTAGCCCTTCCACTATGGCTGGAGGGAGAAGAAGCAGTTCATCCGTCATGTGCCTGATCTGAGAAAGGTGTGACCATGCCATGAAAGTCACCTCAAGTCTTATTTTGAGAATTAGAAGAGTGGGACACAAGGGACATAGAGCTCCCAGATATACATGTGGTTTTCATAAGGTGTGTGCCTATCTTTTGTGACAGCTTTGTGAATTAGATACATAAACAGAACCATTTGGTGGATTTGTGGCCACCTGGTTGAGCCATAGCAGAGGGGGCTGATTTGTGGCTCTGGGTGGGACACCAGTGGTGTCTGGGCAAGGACTGACTGACCAGCCAGGAGGGATGCGGTAAAGGGGCCAGGTCGCCGCAGCACCACCCACCTTGAGCCACTGTCCGTCCATCCTAGTCGTGGTTACCTGGGCTGTGACACTCTCACCTGTGTCAATGGCCATGTAGACATGCTCAGGGTCGTGCATAAGGTCGCACAGAGCCATGAGGGCTTTCTGCCTCGTCAGCAGGTCCTCTGACTGCAGCTCCTCGTTCAGCTTGGGCAGGGCCCGACAGCCATAGGCAATGGCAGCCTGGGTGGGGTTGATGTCAGGGGGCAGGTACATGGAGATCCGGGCATGGGCCATCTTTCCACGCCTGCAGAGGGCAACTCTCTAGCTTCCAAAACAAAGCTCTGCAGAAACCACTGATTAAGAGAATCCAAAAAGTTGTTGTTACTACTACTGTGATTTAGAAGCTACTTCTCATTTGATTCTCAAAACTGTAAGGGCAGCCAGGGGGATATTTTTGCTTCCACTTTACAGATGAGCAAACTGAGGCTGAGAACAATGAAGGAATCTGCTCAAGGTCACAGTAAAGGTAAATAGTAGCCCACATTGCAAACTCCAGGGTTCTCCCACCCATAATGACAGAGGAAACCACCAGTACTTTATAGGCTGGGGCCTGTAAAGGCACCAAAGACACAAAACAAACCAAAAAAGCAAACATTAATATGGTCACCACGTGTAGTAGTTATCTTCTGCCAGCAATATCTAGTATCTAACTCAACTACTCCAGAAGGAGGGGACTTGCGTTATCCCAATTTTACAAAGGAAGTAATTGAGGCTTAAGGTTGGGAGTTTGCTTCAGGTCACGGAACTGATAAGGCCAGTAGCCAACGTTCAAATCCAGGTCTACCTCATTCATCCATCAGGGACCCATATCCAGATGCTCCTGACACATCCACAAAAAAGGAATTAAGGTTAAAGTGTGATTTATTTTTATTACACACATACATAATTTGAGTGACTATAAGCAGTGTGGCTAGTACAGCTGACCCCTGAACAACACAGGTTTGTACTTCACAGGTCCACTTACACGTGGATTTTTTATAATATAGTACTTTTTTACATAATACACTTTTGCATAAATACTTTTTTATATAAATAATGTATTTTCCCTCCCTTATGCTTTTTTTTTTTTTTTAGTTCATTTATTTTGAAAGAGAGTGAGCACGCACCTGCGCACACAAGTTGGGGAGAGGCAGAGAGAGGGGAAGAGAGAGAGAATTCCAAGCAGGCTCCTCATTGTCAGTGTGGAGCCCAAAACGGGTCAGGAACTCACCAACCGTGAGATTATGACCGGAGCTGAGATTGGTAAAGCATCCGACTGAGCTATCCAGGTGCCCCTATGCTTTTCTTTTTTAAAAAAATGTTTATTTACTTTGAGAGCAAGAGAGAGGGGGAGAGAGAGAATCCCAAGCAGGCTCCGCACTGCAGAGCCCAACATGAGGCTCAATCTCATGAATTATGAGATCATGACCTGAGCAGAAATCAAGAGTCAGATGCTTAACCGAATTAGCCACCCAGGCACCCCCCCCCCTTACGCTTTTCTTAATAACATTTCCTTTCCTCCAGCTTCCTTTATTGTAAGAATATAATATATAATAAATATAACATAACATACATGTTAATTGACTGTTTATGTTATTGCTAAGGCTTCTGGTCAACAGTGGGCATACTAGTAGTTAAGGAGGGAGTCAGAAGTTATACATGGGTTTTTGACTGTGAGGAAAGGGTAGCGTTGGCACTCCTAACCCCTATGTGGTTCAAAGGTTCAACTGTAGTTAAGAACAGACTCCAGACTTAGGCCATAGGTGGCCCTTGACAAGTTACTTCTGTCTGTGTCTTTCTACAGCTGCAGAAGAGAGGTGATAATAGCACCCCTCCCTCCCTACTGGAGTTGTCATATGAACTGCTACTCGTGGGCCTGGCACACCAGGCTCGGGATATGTCCTCTGGGGTTACTATTATAGTGGTGGTGGTTACTGCGATTAGTCGCAGTGACAGTTAACTCCAGTAGGAATGGTCAACTCCCGTAAAAGAGATGAGCCAGACTCTGATTCTGGGTACCAAACCACAGGGAAAGAGGGGAAGGGGCCTAGATGGAAGGAACGTGGCCATTTCTGGACTCCCCCGGCAAGGAACAATGGGTGCTGGGGACAGGGGGCTGCCCTCCTCTAAGGAGCATGGGTTAGGGAGTCCAGCCAGGTGAGAGAACCTTGAGATAAGAGGACATGAGCCCAATGTGAACCCTACTGGATGGGTCTGGGGACCCCCTGTTCCCTTTGGCGGCCGCTGGCTCACCTGCCTCAGCGCGTGGTCCCGGAAGCGCACGCTGTTGCCAGGCGACCAGGTTGCCAAGCTACCCCCGTGGCGTCCTCAGTGCCCGCCGCGCAGGCGCGAACGGCTCCGGGCTGGGACAAGCTGTGAAATGGGGATAAAGATACTTTACAGGGTTACTGTGAAGAACAAAGGCAGCTCAGTTTTGCTCATGGTACAAAAGGGAAGGGAAGGGAAAGGAAGCGATTGTACGCTCTGAATTGAGCATTGCATGCCTTTAATCCTCAGAGCAAACTCCAGTTCACAGACAGAAACTTCGGAGAGGTTCAGTACCTTCCTTCAAACCACACAGGCCTGATCACGGGACCGTCTAGCCCTGGCCCATGTTCCTTATCTACTTGCCGACTACCTGGTAATGACACAGAGAGGCTCCTGAAGTGGATGCAACACATTGCTGGCTGGAGTAATTGTTCTTGAAAGGAAGCCAGACCCAGCCATCACCTGCATAAAACCCTCCTGTGGCTCCCCACTGGTCTCAGGATAGATTCCAAACTCCTAGCCTGCCACTTAAGGCCCGGGGTCATGGGCCTCCTTCAGTCATGCTGGATTCTAATTTCCCAAATGGTCAACTCTTTTCTGCAGCCTGAGCTACTTGTAACACTGACCACCTCTTTGTCCTTCGGGACACAGCTTGGTATACACTTCCTCCATGAAGCCTATTCTCTCCCCAATTCCAAATTAGTAAATGTTCCCACAGCTTAATTATCCCATTGGCAAACTTTCTCCTCTAATTCTCTACTTATTTCTGTTTCCTCCTGGAGACTCCAACTTCCCTGAGGGTGGAGACCATGTCAATCCTGTTTACTTGTCTTTCCAGTGCCAGGAATATACTAGAAGGCTTTCAGTAAATGTAGAATAAATGAATGGTTAATGGGCTTGAATCAAGATTTATAATCTACAAAGCACCTACACCATCTTGTGTGATCCTCACCACAAACCCTTGAAGTACAGGGTCAAGTCCATTTTATAGCTGGGTAAACTGAGGCATAGGAGGAGGTAGAGCAACCCACATAAGTCCACCCCCTAAGCCTGAGTCTTCAGCACTGAAATTGAACAAAGGCACCAAGCATCAGCCTCCAGCACATTTAGCTTTGAAATGAAGATAACTAACCACGACCTAATCTGTTGTGGCCAAGGATCCCATATGGTGATGTGGAGATCTGCCCCCTACTGCTGTCCTTCCAAGGACCTAATCATAAAAGATCTCTCTAAGCCAGAGCCTCTTAGCTTTTTTAGGAAGGTGGTGTAGAGAGCACTGGGCTAGGAGTTCAGAAAATCTGGGTTCCAATTATAGTTCTAACCACTAGGCAAATTCTTTTGATTTTTTGAGCTTAAGATTCCTTATCTGTGAAATCAGGAAGCTAAATCAAGTAGGTTCTCAAAACTGGGTACCCTAGGCCTCTCGGAATCTGGTTACAGAGTCTTTTTTTTTTAAGAGTTTTTTTGCTAATGTTCATTTATTTTTGAGAGAGAGAGAGAGACAGAGTGTGAGCAGGGGAGGGGCAGAGAGAGAGAGTGACACACACACACACACACACACACACACAGAATCTGAAGTAGGCTCCAGGGTCTGAGCTGTCAGCACAGAGCCCCACATGAGGCTCGAACTCACGAACTATGAGATCATGACCTGAGCCCAAGTTGGACACTCAACCGACTGAGCCACCCAGGCGCCCCTGGAGTCTTTTTTGTTTTTGTTTTTTTTAATTATCCTTGTATTTTATTATTTTTCAATCTCTTTTTTGTTATGTTTTTAAAGATACACATAACATTACGTTATATATATGTTAATTTATGAAGCATAAAAATGTAACAACGATCTATGAATTCACCACCAGACATTATCAATGCCTGCATCCTCTTTCCCTATCACATACCCCATCCTCCTCTCCAAAGCTAACTACTCTCTCATTTTGTGATTACACAGTCTTACAAGTGCCTCTGGAGGCCATCTAGCCCACATGCCTCACTCTTCAAACAGAAATTAGCTTACAGGAGCTCAGTGACTCAGGTCAGCTTATAAACAGCCATTAATTACAGAAATTAATTATAAAATGAGCTCCAGAAGCCAGCCATATGATATTCAGGCATCATTAGATTCAGAACTATGCAGATTAAGGTCAATAAATGGTAGGCCACTGCAGGGGGCTGGACTCCAATTAAATGCCAATGCTACAGCAAGAGTTCTTATGCCCTGATTGCAGAGAGGAGGTGTCTGGGGGAAAGACTTGAAGGAGGGAAGCACACCAAAATAATCAAGGCTGACTTTGCAGGGCCAGAGATGGGGGATCTTATTTATTCTCTGTGTCCCAAATTGTTTATTTTCATTTGAGTTATTTATTGAATAGGCAATATATGCACATAGAGGAAAATCTAGAAAGTATGAAAGTAAAATGTCTCCCTCCTTTCTCAACCCCCAGCCAACTGGTTGTCTTCACTTGTAACAACCACTGGTAGCTTTCCAGAGCTCAGCTAAACTTATACAAGTAAATATGATTCAAACAGTGTTCTCCACCTTCTTTTTTTTTTTTTTTTAAATTTAATATTCATTTACTCACTTAACACTCACTAAATGTCTGCTCTGTCCAGGCACACTGTTTAGCCAATGCAATACATGGATGAAATAGACAAACACCCCTGCTCTCACTGCTGCCAGTGGAGGGAGATAGGCAATCAACATAAACAATAAATTATATAATATGTTAGAAAGTGGTAAGTGCTTGGGGGAAACAGAGCAGAATTAAGGGGTTGGGAGAATGCTGCCATTGTAAACAGGCTGCTTCGGGGAGGCCTCATCTAGAGGTGTTATCTGAGCAAACTTGAAGAAGCTGAAGAAGGGGAGCAATGTGAATATCCGGGGAAAGAGCATTCCAGACCTAGGGAACAGTCAGTGTGCAAATACCCCAGTGCCTGGTGCACTGCAGGAACAGCAACAAGGCCAGTGGAGCCTGTGTGGGATGGGGGGTTGGGGAGTAAACAGTAGAAGATAAGAGAGGAGGGTCTCCTGGGTGACTCAGTTGGTTGAGCATCTGACTCTTGATTTCAGCCCAGGTCATGATCCCAGGGTCATGGGATCAAGCCTCACATTGGGCTCTGAGTGGCACCTGCTTAAAATTCTCTCTCTCCCTCTGCCTCTCTCCCCGATGTGCTCTCTCTCTCTAAAATTAAAAAAAAATTAATAAAAAATTATTTTATTAAAAAAATTTTAATATCTATTCATTTTTGAGAGACAGAGAGAGACAAAGTATGAGCAGGTGAGGGGCATAGAGAGAGGGAGGCACAGAATCCCAAGTAGGCTCCAGGCTCTGAGCTGTCAGCACAGAGCCCCACATGGGGCTCCAACCCATGAACCATGAGATCATGACCTGAACTGAAGTCGGTGGCTAAACTGACTGAGCCACCCAGGTGTGCCTAAAATAAAATAAATTAAAGAAGAAGAAGAAGAAGAAGAAGAAGAAGAAGAAGAGAGGAAATAAGGCCAGAGCAAATTACGTGAAGCCTCTTGGACCATTGTAAAGACTTTATTACTCTGAAGACATGAGGAGGCATTGGAAGATTGCCATGATCTGATCTGTTTTAACAGGAGGATCCCTGGGGTTGCTGAACTGGGAATAGGTCAGAGGCAAGGGTGAAGGCAAGACGACCAGCTGCAGGGAGAGAAGATGATGGCTGGGACATGGGCAATACTAGTGGAAGTGGAAGAGAGTAAGAGGATACTGGACAAATTTTCAGGGTAGAACCTACTGGATGTACCGATAAGTCAGATATGGGTTGTGAGAACAAGAAGTCAAGGGATCTTGGAGATCCCTTCATACCAATATATAAAGAAAAACAAAAAAATTAGATAACCATAAAAATCATATTTAATATTCTGAAAATAAATATTTAAATACTTCACATAATCTCTATCCGTTCCTTTGAGCCACCACCTATCCCACGGAGGCGGGTGCGCGAGTCTCTCCACGCTCAGCCCCACCCCCAGGGCCTCGGCCCCGCCCCTGAACCCGCCCTGCAGCCCTCCCACGGCCTGCCTGCCAGTTCCGGCCCTTGTTACCAAGGTGATCGCGGGCGCCTATGCTGTGTCCTGGAGGGTTCCGCCGTTCCCCAAGAGGCTGCGGTTGCTACGGTGACCGACTGCGCTATCTGCGTGTGGGACTCTTTCCGCTGTGAGCCCCGCCCAGACCCCGTCCCCGACGCCCTGGATTCGTCAGAAGCCAGCGGGTCTCGCGTGGTGTTCGTTGCCATGGTGATCGCTGCCCGGGGCCCAGCCTGACCAGGTCACCAAGCTTCTGGAGCCTTCGCAACCTCCGTGGGTGAGTCCGCCATACCCTTGCCCCAACCTCGTTCACCCCTGTATGGGCTTGTCCCGGAGGCCCTATTTGGGAGGGCTCCGCGTCCCCGCCCACCTCTCACCGAGGTAACCTTAAAGCCGAGGCCTGCAGCCCCGGGGCCTCATTCCCTGAGCGCCCACCTCGGGCCAGGCCCGTGTTGGTCCTGAAGGAGAGTCAGATCAGATCTGGGAGGACGATAGGCCTGGTTAAGGCCTCGGCCAAGGCCACCCTCGTGGGGAAAGGGGGAAGACAGAAGATGCAGGACTGTTGAATAGGCTTGAGGGGCCAGGCGCTGGGCATGGTGAGGGGGTACAGGGAAACGCCTGTGGGCTGAAACCTAAGCCCCCCCTCCCCCGCCCCCGACCCAAACCTTAATCCCTTAGAGACTAGGAGCAAGGGACCACCCCTCCCCACCCCAATTCCACTTCCTCCACCTGGGCTATGATGCACAGCTCAGCGTTTGTGCAATGCCTCACTCGCACCCCAGTGATAAGTTCAGAGAGCAGCCTCTCCTCTCCTGGTTGGATACCTGGCAGAAGGAGACCCAGGTCTTCCTGACTCCCAGGCAGGACTAGGAAAGCCTGGTCCCCTCCACCCCCACCCCAACCATACTGTCTGCAGATGGAAAGAGATGACCTCTGGCCGGTATCCCTGACTGAGAAGGAGGCCAGGATCAATGTTTAAAGCTGCTGAGAAGTTAAACATAAACTTGAGGCTGAGTCCCCAGGGTTTTGCACAGCTTCCTAACTCTCCCCTGGTTGAGTCCACAGGACATTCTGGAAGGATGAGGTCCTCCCTGACGCCTTTGGGGCCACCTGTGAGCCGGGACCGCATCATCACCAGCTTCCCTAAGGTAGAGAGTCATTAGGCCAGCCCTTTATGTGTGTTTCATGTCCAAATCCACATTTCCCCACCTGCATTCATCACTGGAAACAAAGCTCAGGAGCCTAGGAGGTCAGTCCCTCACTAACAGACCCTGGGAACTTACCAGAGTTTAGAGAAGCAGGGAGATTTGGTGTTGACTCTCCCAAAGTGGACCAGCAAGTTAAGGGTGACACCAGGAGACAGGGTGGCATGGAGGTTAAAGGCACAGACTTTGCTGTCAGACAGTCCTGGGTGTGAATCCTGACTCTGTCATTTGACTGTGTGACTGTGAGCACGTCACTCAACCTCTCAGCTGCTGATACATAAGGATAACTCCTCTCACACTGGGTGCCTGGCTCTTGGTAAATGGGAGCTCCCTTACCCACGTTGTGGGTATTTCTGCCTTTCTCATTATTACTACTGTTATCAAAATAGTATTCTAGTTTCCTGAAACCAAATCCGGGGGTATCCCTCTTTACCATTCGGCTTGGTTCCTGCTGAAAACCCACAGCTCTCTGCCATGTGTATTAAAATCCAGTATTAATTGCATCAGGGGATGCAAATCAGTACAACCCCTGTAGGGGGCAGTGAGACAGTATTTCCCACCTCTGTGCTGTCCCTGCCTTCTGATCCAGCCATTCAAGGCCAGGCATTGAAGCAATTTGTAAAACAGGTCAGAC